AGCCAGAGAATTCAACCCTCACTCAGGAGTCTCAAAATATTTAGATCAGTGAAGAATATGCTGAAATTTCCACTTTGAACATTCTATTTCCTCCTCCCAACGCAGAAAAAGGCCCCCGCTTTCCTACTCCAGTGCAACAATAAAGATTCAGACAGGGAGTTTTGTCCTTGATGGTATCCAGAGTGTAGTCAGCTGCAGGTATTTAATGGGGAGGGGTGGGGGGAGTATTTTTCTAAAATACTAATTTAAAGAACAAATCAACATCTATTATCTCCTTCATTATGTTTTAAATTGTACAACTATAAATCACCCTGCAGCGGGTTATTCAAGGGCAGAATTACCAGGCTTGGCTTTCCCGAAGGTTAGAAGAACGACACCGTGTGCTTTTTCTAGCTATAATTTATAACTGTGCAACAGAACCAGCATTGCAGGCCCATCCATTAGCAGGGTAGCTGCGCATCTGTTAAAACTCAGCACAATGACTGGCTTTGCGCGGCCCCAGGAAACGTAACCCAATCGTTTCAGAAGTTCGACAAACTTGAGCCATTGTTGTTGTTGTTTTTTTAATGTAAAACGATTTGAAAACGCGGTTCCCTAAAACATCTGCTAAGCTCTTGCTACCCTAACACATGATACTCTTTCTACCGTTACCTGCCATTGCAAACATCTGGCTGCACAAAACACGCTAAGAGGCACGTGAGGGGGCTCAGCTTCAAATTTACATACTGATGGCAAAAGGCTGGCGTGGACCTAGGAACTTGAGCTAAGACGTTGTTTACCAGCACTGCAACCGTATGCGGGGGAGAAAACGGGGAGAGGGTTCATTTCATGAAGGTGCTTTCAAACATTTTAAAACGGAGACACAACCACAGGACTGGATCAATGTGGCAGGGGCGGTGGTATATTTGACAAAGAAAATGAACTTGGACAAGTAGCTGGCAGAGGGTCTGCCAGCTGATATTTCACTTTCTTGAACAAGTTGGCTAAGTTCCCTATGCATTTTAACTGCAAAATAAGGGGAGTGATTCTAACGTCAAACTGCTGTAAGCAATAAATGAAGACATATATGCTGATACATAAAGCACCACAATGCCTGGCCTTACCTGCCAAGCTGCATCTTACTTGGGTGTATGGCAACAATAGCAAATAGACAGACCCACCTTTAAAAATCTCACAGATCACCAGATAATACAATATGCCTGATTTTGTGAAATATGCCCCAGAGGGTAATACGTATGTATGAATACAATACATACACTAACGTACAATATATATTAGTGCATCCATATGCAAAATGTAATTTTAGAGTATTTAAATAAAAAGCAAGCTAGAGAGGTGGGAAAATAAGCACATGACACACATATGATGGATGTGACTTCATAACTAGAAAGCTTGCAGCAAAGTTTAGTTTCCTTGAAGATGCTGCACAAGCAGCTAAGGAACCCTGCATCATTTTTAAAACAATACTTAAGACAATCCTATTCCCATTTTTATCTATTACTTAAATTTTATTATAAATTGGAGGGAAGAGGGAAAAACGCTTTTCCCTCCGAAACCCCCACATACCTGTCCTGACCTCTGTACCACAAGAGGAAGTGTCAGAGACACGGCCCCACCAGTAGGGGTCACTGTGCTGAGAATTAATCCCTAAGAGTTTCTCATTAGTGATTATTATACTGCAGGCGGGCAAAATGGAAACATTAATTAATTTCAAAGTGATAATGCATTTACAGCAACCATTAGAAATGTATAACTGTAAAAGGGCAACATTTAAAAGACAGATTACATTTAATAAAGTTGCACAAGAATATCCAATTGTAAAATTACTGATCTGCCACAATATTCCTTAAAGAGGCACTTAAAATAGCCTGACTCCACGAAGGGTGACCTAATTACTGTAACTAAAATCACCGCAGTCACAGCAAGTCACAGCAAATAAAAAAGGGACGTTTGTATTAGAATACTGCTGTTTAATACTTCAGGGAGACGGCTACAGTGGAGAAGGCAGGCAGGGCTCCCGGGCACAAGGCTGGTTGTGTTTCTTGCGTCCTTGACCTTGCGCAATGGAATGCACACTCCAGCAACCCTCAGGTCAAAAGGAAAACGCTTTGTCTGAAGTGAAAGGCAGAAAGGGCAAAGACGAAGCACAAACAGAACACTAGCCACTGGGAGACGGGAACCCTGAATCTATGCTCAGGTTCGCCATGAGCATTTAGGATCCAACTCCTGCACGGGGTGGGAATGGGGATGCAACCACATGGCTTAGGTCCAAAAACATGTTTGCATTAAAATGGCAGAAGTGCGCCCTTCATCCACAAAACAATGTCTTATCACGATGGAAGCAATGCCAAGGCCCGTATGGAAGGACAGAACATGAGGCTGGATCTGTAGTTCAGTCTGTCCTACCAGTGAAACAGTAGATCCCAGGTCTATACTGGTACAGAGTTCTGTCCCACATACAAAGTCCTACATTTTCGTCAAAGAGAAGTGACTGGCCGTGAGTTTGACAGGTCCAGGGCTCCCGTTCCACCTCTTTACGAACCTCAGTCGTATGGAACTCTGGGGTCTAAGAAACCCCACCAAATACCTAAATGTATAAAGATATGACAGACCGTGAATCCGTTACTGTCAATCCTCATGCCAACCTTTATCGCCATTTTGGTTACGAGTTAACAAGCTCAGAAGGGTCAAGTGTCTTACCCAAGGTCTCCCGACTCCAAGGGTAAGAGCTGGGGCTTGACCATCAGGATCCTAAGCAAGAGAGTCAGTAGGTCCACTGTCCCAGGCAGCAGCTTTCTCACACTTGCCACCACCAGGAAGCCATGTCAAATCCCTTTTCTAACACAGGCTAAGGGTTTACGTCCCCTGCCCTTTTATGGAACATTCCACCACGGCCAATACAACTTAACCGAATCTGGGGGGTCTTTTGGTGACGTCTCCACTTTTCTCCAAACCTTACCAAGGGTTCTCTGCTCATTCTTCCAAACCCCCCTCTCACCCAGGGCCACAGACACCAGTTCTTGTTTTATATGTTGCCCAAGACTGCTCCCACCGGGCACTTTCCCACTGGGAGCCCTGGGGACCAGGTTGGGGGGTGGCCAAAGCCTCTGTACACTGGCTGGTGAAGGAGGAGGAAAGAGCCACTCAGGCTGGGCATCGGGCATCCCTGAGACCAGATCCCGGTGTGGTGCGCATTCAGTGGGGAGCTTCTCCTAACTCCCTGTGCTGCCCAGCTGTATGGTGACACTCCTGTCTCAGTTTCCAACTCCACGCTCTTGTTTTCCCGTTGGCTTGAGTCCCGACTATAGTCACCAGCCAAACAGCAATATTCTGTGATCCCAACACGGTTGCCTGCCTGACTTAATTTGCTGGCGCTTTCAGAAATCCTCGTTACGTCCAAGGAGCAGACAATCCAGCCTGACTCGGCTAAACACGTTTATGTGTTGTGTTCATGTTAACTATTAGACAATGATCCCCTCCCCAAGAGACAAAACCATTCACTCCACCTTTTACTTTCCCAGAACTAGTCGTCTTCTCCCTCCCACCTGCCCTTGTGCAGGGTTTTTAAGCCCTGTGGTCCCATCGCAGAGTAAGAGTGGCTACCATTTTCCATCAACAAGCCCTCATCCACTGGAGACCACACCCAATGGGGACATGGTTTCACCACCCGCCATCACAGTCCTTGTAGTCACAGCCCCGCCTCAGTTCTTTCCCACCACGTTCCTGTGATTAGAGAAATTCCAGGAGAAAAGAAAGCAAGACTCTGACGTCACATAAAGGAGTTCCTTGGCTCCCACCAATGACCAATCACAAGTGAGAAAATTCAAGACCCAGAGATTACAAATCACACGCAATGATTGGGCTGTTGGTCTTGAAGGTACAGGGCCAGCAGAAAATGAGAAAGAATGCTGCTCTCTCCTCACCCCCTGCATAAACTTGAACAACAACTCATCCGTGGTACTGTCAATGGCACTGACACCAGTCCAGGCCCATATTCTCCCTTATCATCTCTACTGAAGGACCTAACTTAAGTCAACGAGCCGAAATCATGGTCAAAGATGCCCTCGTGGAGAACCTACTCTCACGCAATCATGGACAGCCTGCCAACGGGGAAGCTTCAGAATCCTGGGACACACACGCTTTCTCGTTTTCCACCGGCCTTGGCCTTGGAGAAGGGCTCTCCAGAGACCCTCCCACTTCTTCTGTTCTTTGAGTATTCACTGCTTGGATTAAGTCTATTTGCTTTGCATAAGAACCATCTGGTTGATTAAGATTAAAAAAGCACTTGCTTACTTGCTCCTATGTAGGTCAAAAGATTTTCCTTGCAGTTTTCAAAGCCATCCACAAACGTGGAGCTCAAGGAGGGTGGGTGGGAAGGGCTGCAGGAGAAGGCAGCAGACTGTATTCAGAGGCTCTGGGATCATTTGCCCAGAACACTGGAGGTTAATGACTTGACTTTTGTTACTCCTAAACGCCAAGGTGTTTCTGAGGATTCCATGGCAGGTTTGGTTTAACTGGAACACTGGTGTCCACTAAATAGGAAAACATTTTTTTAAAGGCCTGTGTTTTAGAAAAGCACCACACCAAATATGTTGTGTAAAAATGTGCACTCTTGGGCTTCCCTGGTGGCGCAGTGGTTGAGAGTCCGCCTGCCGATGCAGGGGACGCGGGTTCGTGCCCCGGTCCGGGAGGATCCCACGTGCCGCGGAGCGGCTGGGCTCGTGGGCCATGGCCGCTGGGCCTGCACATCCGGAGCCTGTGCTCCGCAGCGGGAGAGGCCACAGCAGTGAGAGGCCCGCGTACCGCAAAAAAAAAAAAAAAAAAAAAAAAAAAAATGTGCACTCTTCATTCAAATGACATCCTCCTCAAACTTCTTTCAGGGGGGAAGTTTCCAGATACAGTTGTTACAGGACCATCCAAAAGAGAAAGAACTTCACACTTACCTTTGCGAACATGCCCAAATCTAACCACAGTCGTGTGATTCACCCCAAAAGACTTACCTTTGGAGAAGTCAAGAATAAAGTGCACCTGTAGCCCAACAGAAGGATTCTCCAGGAGAGGTTTACACCCATTAAAAGAAGAATTTAGAACAACAGATACAGATTCTCAATGGAAACAAAGGAATCACATCTGCTAATAATTCAAAAGGCATGAATCCAAGTTATTCACCTACTAACACAGAACACAGTTTTGAAGGACTGTGCTTACTGAAACAAAAAAAATCACATCGAAAGCAAACAAATCATCTCCACGAAGACGTTCAGCCACATATTAACACAATACTGAAAGAGCACATCTTCTCTCTGGCCCTGCAAGACACCTCTAGAGAAACAGATGCAGTCTAAAGCCCACTGAAATGTGCCCAAGAGCCCTAACAGGCCTGATGCTGTGATGATCAAGACCAGACTCCTCCTCACAAGAGGTGAGAGGCGCAGAAAGCACGTGTGCCTGGGTTTCTCTAGGACCCTTTCCGTAAAGGCGCACTGGAGGTGCCTGCGGCGACGGCGGCAGTTCACTTACCATGGACTTGGTGAAGGGTCTGGCCAAGGTGAAGAGCAGCGTGTACACCCACCAGCCTCGATGCAGGGAGGAGTACATCATGTTCCCGGGGTGCACCGCGTTCGACGTGACCCCACGCGGGGACAGGCGGCGGTGGAGTTCGCTGGAGAAGAGAATGTTACAGAGTTTGGACCGGTTGTAAGCCAGCGTGGCCCAGTAGTCATTTTTCGATGGAGAAAGGCGGCTGAAGTCTAGTTTTCCAGAGGAGTCATTAATGTCTGTAAATCTTAAACAAAACAAAACAAAAGATATGAAACGGCCAGTCTCCGACTTCTGATATAGCGTTGTGGTTTTATTAGAAATCTGAGAAAAACTACGCAGAGATGATTGAAAACTCAATTGGGCAAACATCGAAACAAAGTCTCCTTAAAAATAGACAATGGTGAGCTCACAATAGAGACCAACGGGGTCCAAAGGCACACACTTAATAAAGGCCCAAACTCATAAATGGAGCGGTCTTCACATGCTTAAGTCCCACTCCACCACCCCTGCCTCTAACATGTATTTTTCAAAACCTTCAACAGGAAGTTCAAGGATAATTAAATTAAACGGAAAAACATCTTAAATAAAGGGCTGCTGCTTTTGGAAGCAGAAAGATATCGCATTCCTAACCTCTGACAGGGCTTTCCTGGGTTATTTTAGCCAACGCTTGCGTCCTGTATTATTTTCATTTGAGCATCCAAGTAAATATAGATGAGCCTTGCTGCCTCTAAGACTCTTTTGCAGATTAAAAATTAATGATTATAAAGGGGTTATAACCTTGGTGAGATGCCATCAATAGTCTTATACGTTTAAAAGATAAATGTAAACAAAGCCAAAATAAGTTCTGGCAGAGTCTAATGTTTTTAAGTATATCCATGCCATGCATACACACAAATCAAAGTAAGTAGCTGATGTTTTATAATTGGGTCTGACGGAGTCGTTAAACACCAGCTGTTTGTTTCTTTCCTTCCTTCCTTTCTTTCTTTCTTTTTTTTTTTAAATAACAACAAAGTAGTGACTTCCCTAAAAAGCAAAAAAAAAAAAAAAAAAAAATCATAACAGAAGGGATTTTGTAGACGACAGTCTCATCTTCATTAAGGACCCCTTGGAGTTTGCTTCATTAACTCTGGGCATTTGCCCCGAGTAATAAGGAAGCACAACAAGGGCACTGGAGACAACCACTGTGGAAAAGGAAAGCAAAAGGTAAAACGAAAATGATGGAATAATCTGGTTGTTCCTTAAAGGAGCAGTTCGGATGGAGCTATGACCAAGAAGAGAATCCCAGGGGCAGACGCAATTCATGTCTTAATGGAAATTAAATACCCCTTCTCCAGGACTCGGTCAGTGACAACCCATTTCTGGTGTTAAATCACCTTGCCGAGCCGAAGTCATCAACAAAGATCATGGCCAGAGAAGCTGGCGTGGATAAGGCAGTGAGACTCCGAAAGGAATCACCGCTGCCTGTTTCCAAGTCCCCAGACCACAGGAAGAGCCCAGACTTCCGAGCTTAATCCTCTGAGGCAGTGAAACTTAGCGGGAAATTTGAAAATTTATGGGAGCCTTTTTCTGGTTGTCATAACGACTGCCGGCGGGGGCCGCGGACAGGAGATGTCCTGCCACGCACTCGGAGCCTTGCTCAAGGAAGATGGCCCCACTGGACATTCAGGCAGATCAAAGACTGTGTGTAATTATCTGAGCCTAGAGCCGAGCTGTGCTTTACACAGATGCACAGTTGTAACAGCCGCTGAATTTCCAGGAGCAGCATGCCACAACCATGTAAATGAAGAATGAGCGCGCTTTGGGATTTTATGGGATTGGGTGGTGGGGAGGTGAGGCCTGACCCGAGGCTGGTGGCGTTTGAGGCTGCAATGGCGCACGCCTGTTAACAATCCACATGTGCGAGGATCCCAATGGAGGGCTGGGCTCTCTGATAACCTACCTTCCCTGAAGTCCCGCCCAAGCACTGACATGTTGGAACACATGCTCTTGGGCTTCACATTCATTTTTTTCCCTTACATTACAGGTAAGCTAGCACACTGAATGATAACATATGTATGCAGGGAAGTTATATTTTTCATATTTCTTAATTTTATTTCAAAACAGTAATAAGGCGTTACAGAAGAGTTGTCAGCAAAAAAAAAAAAAAAAAAAAAAAAAAAGGACTGTTGAGTTGAGGATGCAATGATCTAAGGTATAGCCCAGAAGTTCTACCTGCTCTGAGTAGAAAAGAGCGTCTAGGGTTTAGACAACATCTAACAGGTACGGGACGAATGTAGCATCCTTCACTCACTCTCCGTTCCTCTTTCATCGGCTTTCTTGGCATCCTTTGTTTAGCCCAATCCAGCTCAGGTGTCACTTCTTCCAGGAAGCTCTCCCTAACTAACTCTTCCACTGCTTGCTGTCACAGTGATTTCTAGGGTGGCAGTGAGGGATAGACTGAAAGAAGCCACGCAGGGTAGATGGAGATTAAGTATCCACTTTCCGGGACCTGGTCCATGCTATTCCTGTTGTTCAAGGACCTGCCACCCTGCAACATTAGCAACAAAGCAAGTCAGGCCACCTTTGTACCTTGTGCCTCTGTCCTTACCATACAGACTGCAAGTCATCTGTTCATTTGCTTCCAGCCCTGAACTGTGAGTTCTCGGGAGGTGAGCTCCTTGAACGTTGCCTATGACACACAGTAGGGCCTAAATACGGGCTTAGAGAACTGAAGTTTGATCGCGGGTTTGGAATTCCAAACTAAGAGCCAAGTTTCCTTTATTACAAAAAGCTTTGATTTGAGCTTTGCTCAAAAGGCAAATTTTACCATTCTGTTCAGAGGCTTTATGTCCTTCGTGAACATGTGCATGCAGCACTTTCTCATGTTTAGAATGATCTCCCTGCTTTGGCTTTTAAGGACAAGGCAGAAGTATCTCATGCCCTGGGGAACACTGGGTAGACTCAACCCCTAAGAGGAGGTATTCATTCCTAGTCCCCAACCTAGAAGCAAAGCGAAAACAACAACAAAATCCACCGTGATGAGAAATTAGATGGAACCAGGTTGAAAGCAGGTTTCGAGATGGAGAAACAGCTACTAAACAGTAGGCCCGCCCTCTGCAAACAGCCCTCCCCCATAAGTGGACCCCTGAGCTCCCAACCTGCTGATCTGCTGAGCGGCACACTCATTTTTAAGGCCTGATTAGCTTGTACTGACAGTCCTCCAGGGAGGAGAGAGGGTGGGCGAGCTTTCGGATTCCTCTGAGCCGGGGCCCGCTTCCTGAAAAAAGACTGCGTTCACCTCTCACAGCTCAAGAGGCAGCAAAACAAATCTACAAAAGCTGCCTACCCTGTTTTCAAGTTGAAAAATTGACAAAGCTAAGCAATAACGTCTTAATAGAGTTATCCTCCTACCAGGACACTCGAATGTTAACATTTGCTCTCTGGACGTTAACATCTGCTGTTTGAGAGGACCTCTATCTTGTATTTCTCTATATACTGCTCCTTTATTTATTTAGTTTTTTTAAACTGAGGATTTTTAAATAACCCAACTAAAATAATTAGGCTGGATTCTATGTAGACAAAAGCTAGTATGTTCAAAGAATAGGACTGAATTTGCATCAGAGGCTGTGTGTGTGTGTGTGTGTGTGTGTGTGTGTGTGTGTCTGTGTCAACTTGGCACTCAACACAGCTGCAGCCATTTACAGCCCTTCAGCCAGCACTCCACTCTTTTCATTCCATTTTAATTGTTATCTGAAAAATTTTTTCACAGCAAGGAAGTTCTCATTTTCATATGATGGATTTCAATTCACTTGCTCCGGTTCCAGATAAGTAACTAAAATACAGGGAAGACTCGGGGAGGCTAATAAATATTTTGCCTTGGGGCAGAGTCTGGTATAATATTTTCTGCAAACATTGGACTTCATTTTTCCTCTAACAGGGGGTCCTGACTCCAACGAACAGATTCCGTCAAGGTTTATGGAGGTAATTAGATATCAACCCTTCCCTTTTACGACATGGTTTAGGGCTCTGGGTCCTTGAGCAGCAAGTGAGTGCTTTCCCAGGACTGCCCGCCCAGTATTCACACTGGCTCTGGGGTGCAACACAAGTGTAATAAACAAACCAGCTTGGGAGAATTAACATTTTGTAAAAACACCCTTTAATACGGGCAAGAGGTCATCGGGAAGCAGAAAACCAGTGACTGTCGCCAGACAGGAGTGGGCCTGATAATACACACTTCAGGAAGACCTGGTCCGGAAACTACAATGGATAGAATTCAAGAGACCAGGGGCCCTGCCTTCCGATCCATCTTTTAAATGAAATCAAGATTCAGATCTCCAAGGTAAGTGCGAATTACACTGCACTTAAGGAGAGAACAAAGATGTCCCATGAAATACTTATTTGAGATCCAGATTTACAAAGGGAAGAAAGCAGCTGACAATTCCACAGAATCTCCCATTAAATACCAGCTCATTCAACCGTATCCCATGGTGCCCTCCACATCTGGCAAACGACTGGGGCTGGCAGATTTATTTCCGGAGCTCTCTCCCCATCGCCCCCGCAGTAGCCTCCCTCACGCCTGAACAAGGCCACTCCAACTTTCACGAACCCGGTGTGATTTGCAAAGATAAGGATGTCCCGATTTTGTTACCACCTAATTACGAGATGTTTCACGTCTTTTAACGCAGGGGAGGATTATTACTGGCATTTTCCTTTCATTTCGGCCGTCATAAATTTCAAATGGTAAAAGTAAATCTATCTGCAGTGTGTCATTTCAACCATAAGCCCCTGTGTTTGGGAGTGATAAAGGGTTCAGACTAACCCTTGGCTGGTCTCTCTCTTCCAAGTCCCAGGGGTTACATTTTATGGAAGCATGATTTAAAAAAATAAGCTTCATTCTGGGTCACTAAAACATTTCAGGACTTAAGACAAAGAAGAGGGAGAAAAAAAACAGGCCCTTGCACATTATTTTTCTCCAGCTACTTTGGTAGGAGTGAAAGCTCCCAACCACACCAGGAAAATCTCCCTAACATGTATTAAATCTAGCCTCGCCTGGCAAGTCCTTTATCTTCTCAGGGTACTTCTCTTTAGACAAAGTTGTTTATCCAACTCTAGAAACAAAACATGCTGAAAATACGAGGAAATTTTCAACTGTCTTTGTAGTCGACTGAATATTCTCCTAATGGTAACAGAAAAGTGCGATCTGATGTTTTAATTGAAATTTTAACCGAAAGAGTCACGGCCAGATTTCTAATATGTCCTAACTACGGTGCTTCCCCTTCTACAAATACACAGCTCACGTCTGCATTGAATTCCCTAATTTCTCATTAGAAAACAACTGGATTTCATCTTGCAGTGTTTAATTGCATTGTTTCTCCTGCTGGAATAACTGCACATTCTTCTTTGTGAGATGGTGAAGTTGGTGAATGACCAATCAATAAAGGTCAGGAATTCAGATTTCATCAATTATTATTCCATCTCAAAGCAAAATCAATGAGGGACCTGAAGTATAGTTATAAAAACAATCTACCTTGCTGTCGACGCTACCCCCAAATAATCGCCCACCATCACGCACATACACACAAAAAAAAGACCTCGATAAATTCAGTAAGCCAGGTTGAGTACACACTTTCTGGAGCAGGACTCATGAAAATTATTTTCAAAAAGAGAGGCTGGGGGGACCATCAGCTGGTGTGAGGAAGCTGGTCACGTGAACAGAACATCCAATTCTAACCCACCTATGGGACTCCGAGGAAACCACAACGACCCGGGCAGGGGCTGAGCGGCACAAGACGTCCTGGAGGAGCTGGACGAGGCAGAAGTGGCCCAGGTGGTTCACCTGGAAGGTGGTCTCCAGGCCATCTTTCGTGAGGCTCCAGGGGAGAGCGAACACGGCTGCATTGCACACAAGCACGTGAAGTGACCTGAAAGAAAACATCCCACGTTGTACAGACAGAAACGCTCTAAAACCAAGGAGGATCCACGCTCCCCCCGGAATAACCAATTCTTCACTATCTTCAGGACTACAGACAGCTGGAAATGGGGTGCCCTAGAAGGTTGCGTCTGAGACCATTCTGCTCAGGAAGGGCTTGGATTCTAAGTGAGCAACTGTGCTGGGTTGCTGGGGACGAGGGGCTTCCTGGGATGCAGGACTTTCAGTGCCAAAACCGGGACCATACTGGGCAAACTGGGATGAGTTGGTCACCCAGGTTGGAACACAGGTCCTACCGCCTAGTTGAATCTGTGCTTCCTTAGCTCATTCAGTTCTCAGCTTCGTTATCTATAAAATCGAAACAGCCCTTAAAGTAAGACATAAGGAATAAAGGAGAAAGTGTGCTGTGAAAAAGCCAACACCAGAACCAGCACTTACTAGGTATTAAGTAAAACATATCAAGGTGGAAATGCTCTGTCTAAAGAGACAGGCACAAACTGTTTGGATACATTCCTTTTAGAAGTCAAGTTAAATCTACATTTTAGAAGTCAGCTTGGGGAGAGGTAAGTGGAGGTCTGTTATATTTTCTCTTTGCACATATTTAATTTCATAATAAAAAATTTAAAAATAAAAGTCTTTCATGTGAATCAAAATCCTAAATCCTAATCAAGAAATTGTACTTGTAAGAAATCATCCTAAGGTACTAACGAGAATTGTATAAAGAAATATATTCAAGGCTATCCACAGTGTTTGTAATTGCAACATAACAGCAACACATCAGAAGTAAATTAAATGTACAATTGGGGAATCATTAAATGAATTGGAAATATATGCATGTGATAGAATACTATGCAGCCATTAAAATAACACATCTATTGACCCTGTAAAACATTCATGTTTAAAAACAATATATAATATCGTATAATCACACACACACACACAATGCTAATGAAAGATAGACAAAAATGTTAACAGTCATCGTCTCTAGGGGTGGATGGAACCCGAAGTGTCTTAAATTGTTTTCTTTCTGAGTTAATTCATATTTATTTTTTCCATAATTAACACGTGCTGTCTTTATAATAAGAAAAAAAATGCCATAAATAAATGCTTTGTAGGAAGAAAAAAAAAAGCGTTTTCGGGGATTTAGCTAACACATGAAACGAGAGAAAAAGAGACAGGGTACAGTTTTACAGGACCACTGTTCTGAGAGATAAAAGATCAGAGTTTTGTCCCAGATTCAAGCAAATCACCAAATCCTCTGAGTTTCTGATTTTTGCTTGTAAAATAAGGGGCTGGGAACTGATGGTGTTCAGATTCCACACCAATGGCATGGACTATGTGATAATAGGAAATGAAATATTTCCTATCTTTCATTTTAAAAAACTTAGTGATCTTTTCATAGAGACTTCTCATAGACCTATTACTATTGCAACAATCTGATTTTGTTCCATCCTTATGGAAAACTGTAGGTGAAGAATCTTGAGTTTTTAGAAAACAAATACTGGTGTGCAATAAAGAAAAGCCTATCTAAAAACTAAAATAATCTGTTATCTAAATAAAGTTTAAAAAAAGGCAAAAATTTGAAATCCTATAAAGAATCCATATTTTCACTATGTAAACAGTGTTTACAAATCAACAAGAAAAACATATTCTGAGTCTAACAGAAATACTGACAATGATATTTTTAAAATTCATAAAACTTGATTATAAAATAACCAGCACAAGAGGTAACGTGTTCAACTCCACCAGTACCAAAAGTTAAAATGAGATATTTTCTGCCTATTAAATTAGCAGATTTATTTATATTATCATATTTTTATTACCTTGTATAAAGCTGGTAAGACTATATATTCCTACCCCATGGATATTAAGTTGAAAACATTTATCATGAGAATTAGAAATATCCACATTATTTCACCTAGTAATCCTGTCTCCAAGTAGTGGGTTACACGGGGGCGGCGCAAAGGGCAGCAGCTCATACCTCTAGGGAGGAATAGTTTATCACTGATAATGTTCAGAACTGCCACTGCATGATGATAATAATAAAAAGCAGAGCAACGTTTAGTAATTTTACTTTTTTTTTTAATAAATTCATTTATTTATTTATTTTTGGCTGCATTGGGTCATCGTTGCTGCACGCGGGCTCTCTCCAGTTGCGGCAAGTGGGGGCCACCCCTCACTGCGATGCGCAGCAGGCCTCTCATTGCGGGGGCTTCTCCTGCCGCGGGGCACGGGCTCTAGGTACGCAGGCCTCAGTAGTTGTGGCACGCGGGCTCAGTAGTTGTGGCTCGCAGCCTCCAGAGCACAGGCTCAGCAGTTGTGGCGCACGTGAGCAATTGTGAGCAATCCGCAGTTGCTCTGCGGCATATGGGATCCTACCGGAGCAGGGCTCGAACCCGTGCCTCCTGCATTGGCAGGCGGATTTTCAACCACTGTGCCAGCAGGGAAGTCCTTATTATTGGTTTTGAATTTTCTACAAACAATGCTCCCCTATTTTGCCCGTGCATGGGGCAGACTATCCCTACAGCCACCTGCTACCCCCTTGATATGCCACTGCTTCTGTAGGGGATTAAACGGTGAACCCCAAAAATAGGTCCACTAGGAACCTGTGAATGGGACCTTATTTGTTAAAAGCGTCTTTACAAATGTAATTAAGTTCAGGACCTTGAGATGAGATCACACTGGATTAAGGTAGAACTAAATCCAATTGACAAGTGTCCTTACCAAAGAAGAGAAGGGCAGAAGACACACAGAGAAGGCACTGCGAAGGCAGAGGCAGAGACTGGAGAGATGCATCTACAAACCAAGGGCTGTCAAAGAGTGCCCACCTGCACCAGAAGCTAGTGAAGGGCGCAGAATGGACCCCTCCTCGGAAGGCACCAGCCCTGCAGATGCCTTGATTTTCAGACTTTTGGCCTCCAGAACTGTGACAGACTGAATTTCTGTTGTTGTAAGCCACCAAACATGTAGTAATTTGTTACAGCAGCCCTAGCAAACTGATACAGTTTCCAAGATTCATTCCCATAGAAATCCTCCAAATTTACGTAAAAGCTTATGCATAAGAATGAGTAATAATTATATATAAATGAGGGAGAATTATAACATTGTATATAAACTAGAAGCAACTTAAAATCCAACAGAAGATAAATCAGCAAGGATTAAGTCAGAGGTTCCCCAATTTCTCAAATCAACTGAAAAAGGAGGAAATTAAATGTTATGTGTGCGATTCATATCCCTTCCCAGCCACCCCCTCACCCCCCAAAAAAAGATTTTTATACGTACAGTCAGCAAGACAGGAAATACAGAAAAGTGTTAGCTCTGGATGTGCAGGATATCATTAGGTTGCTCAGTTTTTTTTTTACTGTTTTTGTTATTTTCCAAATTTTCTATATAAGCATGGATTTCTGAAAAAATTACTCAGATGTAATTCACAAAGCATACAATTTACGCTTTTGAAAGTGTACACTTCACTGGTTTTTAATATGTTCACAATTATACAAGCATCATCACATTTTCATTTTACAACATTTTCATATCCCCCAAAACAAGCCCTGTATCCATTAATAGTCACTAACCACTCCCACCCACCAGACACCATTAATCTGCTTGTTTCTATTTTATAGATTTGCCTATTCCGGGTATTTCATATAAATGGAATCACACAACACGTGGTCTTCTCGTGAACAACTTTTCTCACTACACTTAACGTTTCCAAGGTTCATCCGTGTTGTAGCAGGTATCAGTACTTGGTTGCTTTCTATGGCCAAAAACTATTCCACTGTATGGATATATCACATTTCATTTAACCATCTGCCAGTTGATGGACATTTCGTTGTTTTCCCACTTTTCGGCTATTAGAAATACTGCTGCTATGAACAGTCATTTACAAGTTATTATGGAGACATATGTTTTTATGTCTCTTGAGTATACACGGAGAAGTGGAATTCCTGGGTCATATGGTTAATTCTATGCTTAACTTTTTGAGGGACTGCCAGACTGTTTTCCAAAGTGTGGCTGTACCATTTTACATTTCTACCAGCAATGTATTACGATCCCAATTTCTCCACATTCTTGCCAATATTTGTCATTAAATCTGTCTTGGGTTGTTTGTTTGTTTGTTTGTTTAATTTTAGCCACCTTAGTGAGTATGAAGTAGTGCCTCATTGTGATTTTTATTTGCATTTCCCTAGTGACTAATGATGTTGAACATTCGTATTTATTGGCAATTTATGTATTTATTGGCAATTTGTATCTTTTCTTTGGAGAAACATCTACTGTCTATTCAGATGCTGAGCCAATTTTTAAGTGAGGTAATTATCTTTTTATTATTGAATTATAAAAGTTCTTTATATATTTTAGATACAAGTCTGTTGTCAGATACACAATTTGCACAATCTCCCTCATTCTATAGATTGTCTTTTCACTTTCCTGACGGTAACATTTGCAACACAAAAGTTTTAAATTGTGATGAACTATAATTTTTATATATATATATATATATATATATATATATATATATATATTGTTTTTTCCCTTTGTCACTTGTGCTTTTGGGGTTGTATCTAAGAAAGCACTACCTAACCCAGCATTGCAAAGATATATTCCTATCTTTCTTCTAAGTGGTTTATAGTTTTAGCTCTTACATTTAGGTCTAGGATCTGTCTTGAGCTAATTCCTATGTGTGGCGAACACAAGAAATCTAACTTCATTCTTTGGCATGTGGACATCCAATTGTTCTAGCATCATTTGTTGAAAAGACTGTTCTTTCACCCATTGAACCGTCTTGGCGTTCTTGCTGAAAATCAACTGGCCACCTGTAAGAGTTGATTTTTGGACTGTCGATTCTATTCTATTATCTACATGACTGTGCTTATGCTATGACCACACAGACTTCATTACTGAAGCTTTAGAGTCAATTTTGAAATCGGGAAATGGGAGTCCTCAATGTTGTTCTCTTTGCATCTATTGACATGATCCTTTTTCCCACTGATA